GTCACATCTCATGTGATACCTCAGTATATAGTTGATTTGGTAGAATTTTAATCAAACTTCATTTTCAAAGTAAAATTCGTTTAATTTTCCAATTCAATAGTATAATATTCTTATATAAATATAGAAGGATTAAGTCTCTAAAGGTGAACACGATTCATGAAATAAATAAATTATTATTAGGTCTCTCGCTATATCTGAGGGCCTCTATTTAAAGCCGCTCAGTCAATGTTCATTGTTATCAGTCGTCATCGGTGTAAACGGACGAATGCTTTACAGCACTTGGCTGCAACAAATATAATAATAACCTTGTACTTCTTCTAATGCAGTAGAATAAGATACTGAGGACACTAAACAACAGTTTCACAGGTCAGTACAGTATACAAACAAATACACATATAACTTACATTGAATGCAAACAAAGGTAATGCAGGATAACCAACAGGAACACATGTCGCCGTTTCACCCCCAAACCCGTGACAATAATTATAAAGCAGACGGGTGTAACGAATGCAAAGAGTATACCCCGGTGCTGATATCGTAAAAAGCATTATCGAAAATGGCGTATATATATTTACGAGTCGTGTTCAACTTTAACATTGTGTAGTTTCATAAATATAAGTAAAAACGATTGCATGCAATATGGGGATGAATGAAAACAGAGTCTGATTAGATTTTGCTAAATGTTGTGGACAAAATTGACTAAATTCTTGACTAGCTTGAATAAAACTACTTGATTTCAATTAAACATATTCTTTAGTTATATATTTGACATTACTTATACGAGAGATTAACATAACTAAATTCGTTCGTACGAGACACATTTCGTTCATCATGTTGATGTCCACCACTTGCAGTTTGATCTAAATCGAGCTGATTTTGATCAGATAGGAACTCCCGAATAATTCGCTCTGCATCGTATCTCTTCATTTTGTTCAACAAAGTCTACAAAAAAGTAACATACAAAAAATAGTAAAATGATTTTTTTTTCGAATGAATTGTTAGGTAATAATTTGATGACAGTGAGAATTCTAAAGTTCCAGACCCATAAAATCATTTTGATGGATGTAAAAAGAAAATACCATTCAATAATCCGTCTCAATTAATGCAAAGAATTTTAAAATTGGGGAGAGTTCCAAAGAATAGTTGTTTTTTTTTTTTACATGCAACTTATTTGGATTATTCACAAACAATCACACTCTTACCTAATAAATACACTGTACATGTAGTTCTTTTACATCAACGCAATGACGTTCAAAATTTTTATTTTAATCCACAAAGTTTGCCTACTTTAATATAAGTCGAAAGTAACAACGTTGCAAATCTCCTCATTTTTACTGTTTTCATGTATAACAGAAATATACCTATCATCAAATCCATCCATATTTTAATACAAGTCTGTCATACAACAAACGAAAGACAACTCACATATTTTGTTTAAACTGGACCCGTCGTACTTAAAGGATTAATGTTTTTGACACTAAAAATTTAATGTATAATTTGCAAAAAAACTTGTTTTGTCAATATTGGTTAAATTGTCCTATGGGTTTTTTAAAAGTAGTCAAAATGTAAACAGTTAACAGATGGTCGAAAAACCGAATTTAACCAGAAAAGCTCAGCGTATAAAATTATGTTAGAAACAAAAAACTACATGTTAATATAAACAAGCATTCTGAGAGTATTGCATAAGCAATACATGTCCCCTACCGGGTTCCCCTTTTCTCTTTCGGGTGTCATTTTATTAGAGCCTGTGTATGAAAAATTGTTATTTAAATATGGACATTTCAGTTATCACTTGAATATGAATGAAATATATTGGATCTGCCTTACAAAGGAAGACTCGTGACGTCTTTGAATGCCACTTGACACACACACACAATTGCTTTGATCAGAACAGCTTATTTTACATGGTTGAACAACATTTTTATACCAGAAAAAATCAAACTTGATCTATAATTGTCACTATAAAGGTATCCAGCAAGTTTCAAATCATGATACATTAATCCAGTAGCACTCGGATGACTCGTACCTCGCACATAATGAATTGAATGGAGCGTAGCAGAGTCGGCCGAGGATTGCCGATTGATCCAGTAGTGCATCACGACATTAATTTAGTGCATCACGATCCCTATTGTGAACCCAATTATTAAAAAAAAAAAAATAAGAATACCACAATTCCTTTAGAAATCAATGATGTAGAACGAAATGCAAACTTGATCTATAATTAATCAATTTATAAAAGCTATCGAGCAAGTTTCAATTCATGACAATCTTGTTTAGAACATAAATTAAGTGCATCACGACATAAATGGAGTGCATCACGAACCCTATATTTAACCCAATTATAAAATTAAAAAGATAAAAGAAAATACCGTAATTCTTTCAAAATTCAATTAAGCAGTATGAAATGCAAACTTTATCTATAACTAATTAAGATAAAGTCTTATACTTAAAACCAGCTCAATATCTGCAAGAGTTTAGGAGAAAAGTGCGGAAAACCCTGAAAAATTGAAAAGGCTATAATTCTGTAAAAAAACATTGAATCGAGACGATATTCAAACTTGATCTGTAACTCGCCAAGATACACCCATGTACCAAAAATCAGCTCAATATCTGCCAGCGTTTAGAAAAAAAGTGTGGAAAACCAAGTGGGACAGACTGACACAGACGGGGACAGACAGACAGACAGACAGACGGACAGACGCAGAGGAAACCTATAGTCCCCTCCGGTTTCACCGGTAGGGGACTAATAAAATACAATGCTTTATCATTTTTCAATTATTGGAAGGTATTGAAGCTATTTTTAAATGAAGACAGAATATATTGCTAAATAATGAACTGCTTTTTTCGAAGCAAGATCATTATACATCGGTCCGATTGAAACCATCTGTAAAATTATAATAATTATCATTCAATAAAAGATATTATAAAACAATAGTTTTTAATTTAAATAATAAAATGTATTCTTTGGTTTTTGGTACGGGAATTAATGTCGCACCTTTTGCGGGTTATGTTATTTTTTTCTGTGCAATAGCTGTGACGTTAATTTCAATACTAAGAAACAAAGAAAAACATATAATTATGCTAAGTTTATATTTACGTCTGTATAAAAAACATACAAAGAAATATTTAATTTGTTATAAACTCTATTATAGATGAATGTGGTATTGTATGCGTAACTAATGGGACAGTCATTGTTTAAGAAATCTATGTAGGTGACATGCTTAGTGTCGTTAATGCACTGATTATTGGCAATGGTCTTCATATGAAATAAAGGAGAAAATATTCAGTGGATGTAAATATATATATTTATTGACTTACCGCTAGTTCTGCAAGGGGGATATTGCTATGCTCAGCTACACATAGGAGGACCTCGGTGGGACTGGATTTAATACTGCTTAAGTACTCAATATACTGGGTCATTTCTAGGAGTTCTGCGAGTCGGCGCCAATCATTTCCAAGAGGGGTCAGGGGGTCAAGTTTGATCTTGAGTTGATTTCTGACGTCATATGAAATGTAATGTCTAGAATTGTTGCTCTTACACATTTCCTCTAGAAATGCCACTGAATAACACTGGTTTGAATTTACAGACACATTTACCCTGTCATTAGTTCTATTTACCTCCACGCTTTCATGTTTTTGACTAGCGTTAATATTGATTATACATGTATTATCGACTATTCTTTTTGATTCCTCCGTTGCATGCACCACAATTTTTTCACCCTCATTTTCAAGGGTTTCCTGATATATGTTCAAGTGAAAATTCAGCTCACGAACTGAATATTGAGCTTTCTTTTTGAAGCACATGCTTATATGTGGACACTGCCCGTGCCAGATATGTAAGTAGGGAACACGTTCGTATTCGTCATTTTCTATACTTTCCCATTCGGGAGACAGATATCTGGAAAAAAAAAACCCTCAGTGAACAGATGACTACAAAACATCACATAAATAAGTCAGTCAAAACTTGATTAAAGTGATATAAAAGAAATAAGCCGCGATTAATTATTAAAAAAAACAAAATGTGCAAATCCTTTCCGTTTATGTCCGATTTCACTCTTTATTTAAAGTTCTAGAACGTCAGACAATGGCGCAACTTCTCGGGCCTTTCCGGCTAGCAGAAAAACAACACTCGGAGCTTCTCGGATGGCTTGTACCTAGCACACTTACCTCGGACGTCAAAGGTGTTCTACCTTCTTGCTGAATCAGTCATGTGATTTTGTTTGAATTTTATTCAAATGTTATACTTTTGAAATCCGAGTTACTTTGTTGACGCTCAACACTGTGTTCTTGCTTTCAAAGACTGCTAACATATGATTGTAATTAACATAAGGATTTACACAAATAAAGAAACCTTTTCGAGGAACTTTAGGCAGAGCAAAATATGAAATGAAGGATTAGGCAGTTTCCGGCGGAGAAATGTATCGACTTGATGCCTCCACCTATCACAACCGAGGTTTGAATGGAGCGAAGCGGAGTCAGCCGAGGATTGCCGATTGGAAAAAAACAACTTTTTTTCCGAGATGATGGGATTGAAACGTCAGATAGTTTCGAACCAGATTTTAAAAGAAAATCATAGAGATCATTATGAATGGGCATGGAAATAAGTAACACAGTGAGTTTATCAATATATCTATATAATGAAAGTAAATGACAATAACATATACAAATTATTGTCGATTAGTGGCCATATGTTATTTGTTTTCTAAATAGATAAAGTAAGAGTGATGCAGTTAATTTTTTCATATTTTTATGCCTCCGTAAACGAAGTCTCGGGGGTATATAGTTTTGGTCGTGTCCGTCCGTCTGTCCGCAAAAACTTTAACCTTGCCCATTACTTTTGATTTAGTGGGGCTATGACTTTCATATTTTACATGTGTATTCCTTGTGACATGACCTTTAAATTTCTTAGGGTACCACCAAATTTGACCTTTTGCCACTGACCTTGGAGTTTGACCCACTTTTACACAAAAATTCCAAACTTTTACTTTGGCCAAATCTTTTGAAGAGTAGACACCAGGACATTTATACTCCAAATATGTATTCTTTGTTCAAAGACCTTTCAATTGGATACCAACAACCTTGACCTTTTGACCTTGGAGATTTCCGTATTTCTGTAAAAACTTTTACCTTGGCTATAACTTTTGAACGGTAAGGGATAGGACTTTCATACTGCACATAAGTAATATTTATGAAAAGATCCTTCCTTGGATATTAAGAACTTTGACCCTTTTACCTTGGAATTTGACCTACTTTTTTAAAACGCAAACTTTGACCATAACTTTTATTGGGTAAGGGCTAGTGCTTTCGTATTTAAAATATTTAATTCTTGTGACAAGATATTTCATTTCATAGCAAGACTTTTGACATTGACCTTCGAGTTTCACCTACTTTTAAAAATTTTTAACCTTGGCCATAACTTCTGAACGGTTAGGGCTAGGGCTTCCATACTTTACATATGTATTCTATGTGGCAAGACCTTGCATTGGATACTTTGATCTTAACGTTTGACCCACTTTTTGAAATTTTTAACCTTGGCTATAATTTTTAAACAGTTAGGGTTAGGACTTCCATACTTCACATATTTATTCTTTGTGGCAAGACCTTTCATTGGATACTAATGACTTTGACCTTGGAGATTTCCGTACTTATGAATAAACTCTAACCTTGACCATAACTTTTGAACGGTAAGGGTTAGGGCTTTCATACTTCACAAATGTAATCCTTGTGAGAGGACCCTTCATTGGATATTAAGAACTTAGACTTTGACGTTGGAGTTTGATCTTTCGAACAGGTGGTAATAGGGCTTTCGTATTTTACATTTGTATTTCCAGTGAGAAGACCCTACTTCGGGTACCAATATATTAAAATTGCAACTAGTAATTACTAATACTTACTTCAGTGTCACTCTTACGTCCAAGATGTCTTCTACCTGACCGTAGAATAGAAACGCCTTCTCTGGACACAATAGTTCGTGTTGAAACTGTGCTTCATTTTGAATCGCCCATTGTAGAGCACAAGGAGTTTTATTAAGAAAGTAAACCCTGACCTAAATAAAACAAAAGTTATTTCAAATTAATAAAAGCGAAAATAATTGAATTTTTTTTTAGGTCACCTGAGTAAACTCAGGTGACCTATTGCTATCCGTTTTCGTCGTGCGTCGTACGTCAACATTTGAACATTTTCAGCTTCTCTGAAAGAACTCAACCAATTTTTGCATCAAGCATCTATGGGTGAAGGGGAACAAAAATTATGAATTTCATGGTCCCTGCCCACCGGGGCCTGAGGGATTTCCAAAACCACTAAAATTAATGCAATTTTTAAAATCTTCTTTACTCCTGGACATCAAGCAGTCAAACTGTTTACATGAGTTAATCAGCATTGAGTTGTCTACCAAAATTTTGTAATTCATGGCCCCGGGGTCAGGGGTTCTAGTGCTAGGGCTAGGCTCAATCATTTTATAGTGAAAATGCTTTTTTTTTTCGAAAATCTTCCCTGCTCCAGGGTATTAAGTAAACTAACCAACTACATAGTTATGTTGAATAAAGCTGCCTCTTCTAAAATTGTGAATTTCATGGCCCCAGATTCAGAGGTTCTGAGGTGCTAAGTGGGGCTATATAGATTATGTAGTGAAAATGCATTATTTCTTTGAAAATCTTCTTCTCTGCTCCTGGGTTTTTAATAAACAAACCAAGTACATAGTTATGTTGAATAATACTACCCCTTCTAGAATTATGAATTTCATAGCCCCTGGGTCAGGGATTATGGTGTTAGGGCGGGCTTTATTAATTATATAGTGAAAATGCATAAATTCTTTGAAAATTTTCTTCTCTGCTAATGGGCATTAAACCAGTAAATTATGTACATAGTTATGATGAGGAAGGTTGCCTCTTCCAAAATTGTGAATTTCAGGGCCCCTGGATGGGGGTTCTGTGGTTAGGATGGGCCTCTATTGATTATGTAGTGAAAATACATCAAATCTTCTTCTCTGCTCCTAGATATTAAATAAACTAACGAAGTACATAGTTATGTTGAATAAGGCTGCTTCTTCCAAACTGCTAGGGATTCTCAGGTCTCAGAGCGGGGCTCAATTGATTATATAATGAAAGTACATTAATTCTTTCAAAATCGTCTCTGCTCCTAGGTATTTGACCAGTGAATTATGTTAATAATTATGTTGAGTAATGCTGCTCCTTCCAAAATTATGAATTTCATGTCCCCTCAGTCAGGGGTTCAGATGTTAGGGCGGGGCTCAATTAATTATATCGTTAAAATGCAGAAGTTCTTTGAAAATATTTTCCTTTGTTTCTGGGTAATATACAATTGCAAATGATCTACATATATCTGCTCTATGGTATTCATCAACCATTTATTATGAAATAAAATTTATGATTAAATTTTCAGAATTTTGAAATATGTGCCCCACGGTCAATGGTTCCTGTGGGTAGGAGTGCACAACTGATTATAAAGTGGAAATGCATTTTCTCTTTGTTACTCTGATCTATCTCAAGGTACTGAGTAACCAAAGTAAGCAAGCTAAGTGTATAGTTATGAGAAGCAATGCTGCCTCTTTAAAAATTGTAAATTTCATGACCTTTCGTTTAAAACATGAGGCGATTCAATTGTTGGAAAGTGATACTCGGGTGACCTAAAAGGCCCGTGGGCCTCTTGTTATATAAATATTTTTATAAAGGAGGACAACAAAGCACACAGAAAAAAAACGTTCTGATGATTTTCTTATATCCATGTATTGAACACAGTTCATTATTATAAATAAAGAAAAAAGATAACTCTATTTGAAAACAAAATTTTGTTTCAAACTAACGTTTTTTTTTGTTTTTCACACTGCAGAAATTGTTGCGAACAAAGCCTTAATTCTTTAGACGCGAAATAACTTCAGATACGATATAACATATTTTTTGGACGCAGTACCTGGTAAGAGAATCAAACTCGAGACATTCAGGTATCATGTGACTAATTCAAAGCATTTACTTGAGATAATCACTTGCATTGAGCAAGTAAACTTTAAAAAAAATGGATTTAACAGGATGTATTTGTGAAACTCGAATGCCCCGTTTGGCAAGTTATGGTGAGGGTTGAATTTCTCAAATACATGTCAAACTCAGACGATCATGGTCTTAAGGTCAAAGGTGTTGGTATCCAAAGGAAGTACAAGGAATACATCTGTGAAATATGAAAGCCCTGGTTCTAACTGTTCAATAGTTATGACTAAGGTTAAAATTTTGAAAAAGTGGGTCAAACTCTTAGGTCGAGTTCGAAAATATTTATACCAGATGAAAGGTCTTGTCACAGTAAATACATATGTGAAGTATGAATTAGTCCTACATGTAGCTCCAACTCTTCAAAAGTTGTGGCAAATGTTAAAAGTCGGTCAAACTTCAAGGTCGAGAGGTCAACTCTGGTTGTACCCAAAGAAAGATCTTGTCACAAGGAATACACCTTTTTGAAATTTGAATTTGAAAGCCATATCCCCGCCCACTCCATTGTTATGATCTTGGTAAATGTTGACAACAGACAACTAGACAGACAGGACAAAAACAATATACACACGCGGGACCTTTCGATCCAGGGGCTTAAAAAAGTTTGAAAGAATAGATGAACTGATCACATTTAGAAAAGATCAAAAGTTTCAGTACAGATAACTAAATAACAGGATATCAAAAATAAGCCTATCAAGAAAAAGTGGTACCTCATGATGGTCGATGCGTTTTTCCAGAGGGTTAGAAAAAGCTGCAATTTGTAGCCACTTTGCCATTTTTAAATTCCTCAGTGGCCTTTGAATGCACGTGTATAATGTAAAAGTATTGATTTTTAGTCTGCATTCATCTGAAGAAAGACTACACTTATCATCTTGATTTTCTTGACTGTACATTTCAATCCACGATTTGTCGTCATAAAGGTCAGTTTCACTACGCATGACAACGATATGACGTGGATCGTAAGCACAGTGACGAAAACGTAGTTCACAGGGTTTCCGCAGTTTAAGTCCATGTGGCCCTACAAATACCACCGGGCTGACAAGAGACTCCGTTTCTGTCATATAAGGATTATCACCTAGATCCCAGTTCAGAACAAGACACACGAGTGTTTCTTCTCCGATTGGAATCGCATTTGGGGGTATATAAAGGGATATACCCATATCATCGAGCATCAAGCAATCTCCACTCGACGTAACATTATGGGCCACTGATACAATAAGTTTTCCTCCTACAGTTTTCATTTTGCTTCGTTCTGAAACGGTATACATGTCATTGCTGTAATAGAAAGGCTTGGTGAAGCGGTTCGATGTTTCACCACTTTCCGCACAAGAAGAAGACGACGTACCTAAATCGTTCAAAGTTTGACTTCGAATGTCATGGTTTAAATGTTCTTCTGGTTCTGCAAAGGAATTGATAAACATTGGTGAGACATTCTCGTTTACTGTTGGTAAAACGTCTGCTGGTACCGGACTAGGATGGAGTACAGGAGACTGGTATGTCCGAAGTGAAGGAAGGACCCCATTTTCAGCAGTACTTCGGCAGTGAACACTCTGTTCTACATGATTATCCCTTCTCCTGTGCGATATTGGAAATTCACCGCGGTAAGAACTTTCATACTGCATACAGTCATGGCAGTGGTGTCGATGAGAGACGCATGGTCCATTTTCCCGCCTACTACGCTGACGGCGGGAGACATATCGCCACATAAGAAAGAAAATACAACAGGCTACTATAGAGGTTGTGACACTTGCCCAAATGATGTATTTTGAGCATTCTTCGTCCTTCATTTCTCATATTCCTGTAAGAAAAAAAACTTTTTGAATTAAGGGATAATGGATATATAATTTATATATATTCTCAAAATATCTTTCAAATTTATAATGATTGCATAAGTTACATGCATCATATAATGTCATACTAGATTGAATACCCCGGGCCGATAGAATAAATCGTACCTCACCTTACGTTTTATTCTAGTATTCCTTATACAAACGTATTACATGTAATATATATGTGCATGTATCTGATTCGCACGCATCATACATGTTTTTGATTGATGTAACGAATGAAATGTATGGAGATAATGATTATTTTATTCGTTCACGATCATGACAAGGAGCAATCAGCGAGTTTGACTGGTCGACAGGGAATGCTCCCCCCCCCCCGGCACCTGATCCCACCTTTGATATTTTGGGGACCCGCGTTTGCTGCGCTCCAAAATTTGTATTGTTTAATGGACTTTTGAGCTTGAATACTGTTCGTTATCTCCATATATTTCTTCATTGCGTCTTAATAAGAGTCAAAAATTACCGATAGAGACGTTAAACAACATACGATCAATCAATATGTTTCATTATATTCCATATTTTTAAAATTATAAAATGATTTTAAAATAACTTTTTATGTTTATTTCAAATTATATTTATTATAAATTACCATTTACATATTTCATACCTACAAAAAACACATACATAAACATAATATTATACACATTCAAACATACGTAATAATGTTTTAACAGAGAGGAAAAGAGAAAGAAAAGAACGGCGAAAAGAGAGGAACAGAAAAGGAGAAGAAAAAAAATTAAGAGTACACTAGTACTACTTTTTTTTTAACTTTAGGGTAAGAAAGGTGGGGGGGGGGGGTAATGGGCAACATTTATCTCCACAATATTGTTTTCAGGGTCAGTGCGCTCAAAACAGAGGGGTTTTTATACATTGTATTTAGTCAAAAATATAAATTTTATTGATTGTAACTGTAATCAAGTTTTGCACTGTATGAACAATCTTATTCTTATGTTTGCCAAATAATAATATTGTTCTGTCAAAAACTACAAATATATTAAACTTTGGGGAAAAAAAACTTTTCAAAACTTTCCAACGCTCTTTTACTAAATGACATTCAACAAAAAAATTTTGAATTGACTCAATGTCAGTCTTGCAGAAAGTGCAAGCTGGAGAATCCGTTCTCTTAAAATTAAAAAGATATGAGTTTGAAATGACATGGTTTTTATTTAAATAAAATTTAATACATTTTTTAAATTATAAAGTGTCTTTTATATTTGACTGTTCCATTTGTTTTAAAAACTCGCCGAAATATGGCTGAAATATTGCCGACTCGGCGTTAACCAATAATCAATCAATCGTATACATAGAATTGTTTCATAAAACTTTATTTAATAGTTTGATGTTAAATTTCGTCGTTTTTGTCTTTTATTAATTTATTTTGTATATAATAGGTTAACTTTATTGTCATTTCAACCCCAGCAACATGCGTCCCCATGCATTCATCTTAAGTAGACTTATACTTCTGTACTTCTTTGCTGTATGGGAAAAATAGAATTATTAGGGGACATATATTGCTAGGAAAATACCGGAGTTTAAAGGTACTTGGACACAGATTTGAAGTTCATTTTTTCTCTATAATATTACGACTTATATATTTTAATAGCATTTTATACAAAAATTAATTAAAAATCTTATTTCATTTAAAAGTTATTAAAAGTTTTAATTTTTTGGCGGGTTTGATTGACACATCCTTGCACATTCACAAATTTTAACTTTATTCTTAATCCTTAGGAAAAGTGGCAATCTTGTCGTGTATTAATGAAAAATATTAATACTATAATCCAGAAAAGTCAGAGTGGACACGTTCGAAAGCAAAACAAACACACAATATATTGTCAGTCCGTGCAGTTGTGGCAAGCAGACTGTGACGATTGAACGCACCCGGTGAATCGTAAACACCAAACAATAACAGGCTCTTGCCTTGTTTACAAAAACTGTGTACATAACACGAGTGTGCTTGATTTGCAAAACTCTGTACACAACGGGATGGCGATACTTGTGGAGTTTTGCTTTCTAACATTTGTACTCTGAATAAAATTATTTTTCTGGATTTCAGTTTAAATATTTATCATTAATACACAACAAGATTGCCACTTTTCCTAAGGATTAAGAGTAAAGTTGAAATTTGTGAAAGTGCAAGGATGTGTCAATCAAACCCACCAAAAAATTTAAAGTTTTAACTTTTAAATGAAATAAGATTTTTAATTAATTTGTGTTTGAAATGCTATTAAAATATACTCGTAATTCGTGATATTATACAGAAAATATGAACTTCAAATCTGTGTCCAAGTACCTTTAAAGACATTGACTCATATAAAGATTTTTTTAAAAAAAAAAGTCTCCGTTCCTTGTCCAACAGAAAATGTGTTATAGTTAAATTCGTTTATACCATCGTCTTCCACCTTCCTCAAATAATTTATTTTCTCCACGAATGAGTCTACTCTGCTCTGTTTTTTGCAAATATTAAAACAAAATGTTTGTTGTAAATGAGCATTTATTGTAATGCCAAACAAGCTAATTCAGAGAATTTGTGTCCCCCGCTTAGGGAAAAAGTCGGCTCCCCCTGACTGAATTTGTACAATTATTAAATGTATACATGTATACTGAAGGAAATAAAATACATGTATGTCAATATGCATATAAAGATTTGATTGCTTATTCTTTATTATGTGTATAGAAGATTTTTTTATATGGAATATTTATCACACTGTAATGATGATTTTATAACCTCATAAATTTTTCATTTCACATGCTGAATACTATCATTTAGTAAAAAAAAAAAGTATTTAAAAAAAAAAAAAAAAAGAAAGGCTCGGCCGAGATTCGATCCCGGGACCTCTCACATTAGAAGCGAGAGACATAACCACTTGACCACGGAGTCGCTTTTCTTAGAGTGAAGTATATGCAGAACTCAAGTCACATACATGTATATATTCATGTTTTCATGTTCGGTATTCTCAAAATTTTACACAATCCATGGTGTTTGATTTATTTAGCCTTTATTAAACAGTTATAATAGATGTAATAAGAACATAAAGTCCGCCGAGAACCTGTTTTATACGCAATAACTCTCCTCATGCCCCTGCGCTAAAAATAGCGACATGTAATACTATAAATACTAATAAAACAAACGGGGCGGGGCACTTTGAGAGGGGCGAGAGACGTCCTAGGGAGTTTTGGTATAAAATTACATTGCATAAGCTCAAAATCTTCTTGAAATATCGCCCGGAAATGATAGTGTTACACACAGACAGAATGTATAAATTTACGACCTTGAACTTTGACCTTTTGACCTCAAAATCAATAGGGGTCTTCTTTAGGCCACAGGGAGTTGTTATGTAAAATTTCATTGCGATAGCTCAAATGGTTCTAGAGATATCGTGTGGAAACGAAAGTGTTTTAACAGACAGAATTTGCTTATTTATGACCTTGACCTTTGACCTTTTGACCTCAAAATCAATAGGGGTCTTCTTTAGTCCATAGGGAGTTGCTATGCTAAATTTCATTGCAAAAGCTCAAAGGGTTCTCGAGATATCGTGTGGAAACGAAAGCGTTACAGACAGACAGAAAGACGGACGGACGGACGGACGGACGGACAGACGGACGGACGGACGGACGGACGGACAAACCCAAATTAATATCCCCCACTTTTCAAGCGGGGGACAACAAATTAACCAAATATGTACAAAAGTTACATATGACCATATTTGAATATATCCTTTATAAGGATATTAATATACATAAGGAAAAAATACAAATATGACTAGAAGAATTTGCAAAAAAGAAGTTTATTCCTTGTGATTTATTTTTATCTATAAGAAGAACGTTTTATTATTATTAAGCAACACATAAACTTACTATTCGATTTCTCTCTCACTGGTCTGTTGGCGAAGAAAGTTAACCTGTATGCCGAAATACCTGTTATAAGGGCATGGCTTTGTTTACAGTCTGGGTTTAATTCATGGGGTTTACTCAGGGTCAAAAATGATGTCTTTTATCAAGCAAAGCACTGATGACCTATATGTTGATTGCAGTTCGATTGCGTCGGTTATCAAGTGCTCCGGTTTTGTTTGAGTGTAAGCTGTTTTGAGGGTATATATATTTTTTCCAACTTTTGATAACAATCAATGAGAAATTAAACCACTATGAAAATGATTGCAATTTTAGCTGCTAGAAAAAAGGTCTAAGCTTTACAGAATATTCGTTACAATTTTAATAATTGGGAGATACATGTACTACAAGATGTGTAAAACCACAGTTGTTTGATAAAAATAAATAGTTTCTATTCATGATTTTGTTATTTGAAATCGGACTTTGCTTAGTCTTAATACCTGGAAAACGCTAAATAAGAATGAATGAGAGAATATTTGGTCTCATAATTGATTGGATAAAAAAATTTGCAGGAAAAACTTCGAAGGCTTGATTTATGTTTTAGATATTTCAATGCAAAAAAAAGACATATTAAACAATCGTAGCGCCAAAAGATCCCCATTTTTCCTCATTCTTTTTAAATTGAGCGATTCGAGTAGACACTCACAAATATGCTTGACAAAAATTCTTAAAACTTTTGACACCAGGATCAAACTTCCTTCGGGAATTTTCAAAACACAGACTGCAATTGTGTCCTTGGAATTTGAGATTTTTCTTCTGCATTTGCTTATAATGGACCTTAAAAGAAGATATTTTGAGTTTTATTATGTTTGCATAATCTATATTTCATTAAGAATTGTTTGTATTTTGAAGTTTTAACTTGATAATAGACAACGGAGGGTACGTATGAATTTTATATTAACAAGTCTAATGTATAAACAAACTGCATAATTTACCAATGAATTGGTAGCAGTTAAATTCAAATTTGTCATTTCCTTTTAAACAGAAAAGATTGTGTTTGCCAGCCTTAGTTTAACAATAACCATGCATTTTCTGATAAGAGACTCATGACTTTCTTTAT